GAGAGAGAAACATTGATTGGTTGTCCCAACCGGAGATCAAACCCACAACCTGGGAGTGTGTGACCACACCAGAAATCGAGCCCATGAGCCTTCGGTGAATAGGATGATGCCCCAACCAACTGAGCCACACCAGCTAAGGCAAACGTTTGATTTTTTTATCTCCATGTGAATTGCCTTCCTCCACTTTGAAATTCCAAACTGCAACACCCACTTTTTCCTTAGTTCAAGATGGCTCATGAGTGGTGGGAGCGGCGGAGGAGGGGTCAATGGAGGAAAAAGGGGGAACATCTGCAACACTTTCAACAATAAAGATTTTTAAAAGAGCCCTGGCCGGTTGTTCAGTGGTTAGAGCGTTGGCCCGTGGACCAGAGAGACCCGGGTTCGGTTCCAGCTGAGGGCGCGTGCTTTGGTTGTGGTTTGTCCTCGGCCCTGCTTGGGGTCGTGCAGTGGCAACCAGTCGATGTGTCTCTCATGTCGATGTTTCTCTCTCTCTCTTCCTCCTCTCTCCCTCCTGCTCTATCTAAAGATAAGTGCAAAAATGTCCTCAGGTGAGGATAAAAAAAATAAAATAAAATAAAATAAAATCTGAACCCCCCCCCAAAGAAAGATTTTTAAAAGAAATTTTTTTAAAATATGGCATGTGAGCCTTAAATGCCCGATTGGTCCTAAGGTCCCATATTCTAATGAACCCCCTATGTACATACATAATTAAATTTGGTCAGTTCCTCCTGTTAATTTCTCACATCAGTGTGATTATTATACCAGCCAGAAGAACTAAAAGGGGGGAAGGGGGAAATCTTCTCCCCACAACTGTTACATTTTTTAAAAGCTATTTGTAGAACAGTAGGTAAGATGTATCTATTCATTCACTTACTCAACAATTTTTACTTTTTTTTTTTTCTTTACTATTTCACTCAATATTTTATTGAGCACCTACTGGGAGTTAGACACTGCTCCTTTCCTCATAAGACATATTCTTGGTAATATATATGTATATAGTAAAGGTCAAGTTGTGATGGAAATGTTCTAAAAGAAAATAAAACAGCCCAGCCAGTGTGGTTCAGTGGTTGAGCATTGACCCATGCACCAAGAGGTCACCAGTTTGATTCCTGGTCAGGGCACATGCCCAGGTTGTGGGCCAAATCCCCAGTGCGGGGCATACAATCGATATTCTCTCTCACCGATGTTTCTCTCTCTCTCTTCCTCTCTTCTTCTCTCTCTAAAATCAATCAAGAAAAAAAATTTTATAAGAAGAAAAGAAAGCAGGGTAAAGTAATAGAGCACAAGGGAGGTGATCTTTGTATTCAGAGGTAAAGGAAGGCCATGTCGAGGATTTGCCATTTGAGCAGAAATCTGAGTTAAATAAGGAATAAGCCTAGCAAATACCTGAGGGATGAACATTCTGGACCAGGAGAGGAAAAGTGGAGACAGTATGTATAAATAACTCTCACTGCTTTTGAGTTTTGCTACAAAAGGGACGTAGAGACATAAGGCATAACCAAAGGGAGTTATAGGGTCAAGAGAGGTTTTCTTTTGTTTTCCTTTTTTTAAAAGATGGGAGATATTGCAGCATATTTGGAAACTGATCAGAACAACCTAGTAGAGAGAAAATTTTGATGATACAAAACAGGGAGGGAGAATTGAAAGGGTCAAGTCTTTAAGCAGGGGAGAAGGGATGAGATCCAGGGCACCAGTAGAGGGTCTAGCCTTGGGGGCACAGAGGATCATTCATGAAAACTGGAAGGAAGGCAGGGTATGTGCTGATCATTGGTAGATTTGGGGCAAGGAGCACATAGAGGTTCCTAATTGCTCTTATTTTCTCAGTGAGAGGGAGAATGTGAAAGGAGGTAGTAGAGTTTAAGGAAAAAGGAAAAGTGAAATAATCATCTGAAAGAGCTGGTAAATGAATGAACCAGGGAAATATACTAGAATTGGTAGGCATTGCTAAGGGTTCCCTTGGGGTTATGGTTATAGATTTAAAGTAAGACAAGTCAACATGGTGGGGGTTTTTCCAGCCACATTCTGCTATATAAATACAGGTGCAGAATGGCGGATTTTTGTTTTTATTTGAGAGAGAGAGAAACACTGATTTGTTGACTTTCATTGGTTGATTCTTATATGTGCCCTGAGCAGGAAATGAGCCCCAAACCTTGGCCTATTTGAACAATGCTCTAACCAACTGACCTACCCAGCCAGGGTCAGAATGGTGGATTTAATCAGCAGGTTAATGAAGATGAAATGTTGGATTTAACCTAAGTTGGGATTTTGCCAAACAAGGACAGAGAGACAAACTCAAGGGTTGAGGGAGTGGTTATAATGATGAGCCTTAGAACCCAGCTGAGTAAGAAGGGCAATCAGGACACAAGGGATAAGGATGGAAGATGAAAATGTGATAGGGAGTCAAGGAAATGCTGGAGTGGAGGAACTAAATAGAGCTGAGAGGAAGCAGAGTTTGCCACCACAAAATATGCCTTTTGGGATGGAAACGGACTACTTTAAGCTGGTTATTTTCAAGAAACTAGACTCAGCCCCCAGCCAGGTGGCTCAGTTCTTTGGGGCATTGTCCCATACACCAAAAAGGTTACAGGTTCAATCCCCAGTTGGGGTATGTAAGGGAGGCAACTGATCGATGTTTCTCTCTCACATGGATGTTTCTCTCTCTCTCTCTCTTTTTCCCTCTTCCTCCCTCTCTAAAATCAATAAACGTATCCTCAGGTGAGGTTCAAAAAAAAAGACTCAGGACCCTGGCCAGTTTGGCTCAATGGTTAGAGTGTCGGCCTGTGGACCAGAAAGTCCCGGATTCAGTTCCCGCTAAGGGCATGTACCCCAGTTGCAGTTTGTACCCGCCCAGGTTGGGGGCATGTGGGTGGCAACCACTCAATGTGTCACACATCAATGTTTCTTTCTCTTCCCCTCCCCCCCCCACTCTATCTGAAGACAAATGCAAAAATGCCCTCAGGTAAGGATTTTAAAAAAAGGCATTGACGTTCCCCCTAAATGCCTAAAATATTTAGACAGAGAACCTGCTCCATGAAGGGAGCTATCATTATAGAAAACTATAATTTAATACAAATTAGGTGTAATAGGTACCTAGCAAGACCCCGGTTTCTCAAAGTCCTTTCTGTGTCCCATTGTTAAAGATGGTCCAGCAAACATTTTTTTTTTTTTTTAATCCTCATCCGAGGACATTTTTCCATTTTTTGTTCAGATAGAATGGGAGGGAGGGAGAGAGAGAGAAAGAGAGAGAGAGAGGAAGAGAGAAACATCGACGTGAAAGGGACACATCGAGTGGCTGCCTCCTGCACAACCCAACCAGGGCTGGGGACAAACTGCAACCGAGGTACATGCCCTTAGCGGGAACCGAACCTGGGTCTCTCTGGACCGCAGGTCGACGCTCTAACTGCTGAGCCAAATTGGCCAGGGCCAGCAGACATTTCTTGACCAAACATTTGCTCTTCAGTCTCAATATAAATTGCCCTCCCACCCTTTCAAGTCCCAAATCACAATCCCCTCCCCCTTCTCCTTAGCTCCAGAATGGCAATATAAGCCTCTATGGAAACCCCTTGTGCACATATGTGTTAAATGTGGTTATTTTCTCCTCTTAATCTATCTCATGCTAATTTGATTATTATGCTAGCCCTAAGAACATAGAAAGGTAGGAGGAAAATTCATTTCTACTCCCTTAGAGAGGAACAGAATTGGAATCACAGGAGGTAGAAGACAGAGAAAGGGAGGCTTAAAATTGAGATTTTGGAAGTGGTGCTTTATTTTGGTAATGACAAAATCTCAAGCGTGAACAGAGGAGGGGAATGCTGTGATTCAAGAAGACAGAATCTTTGGAAGTGAGGAGTTCAAGAAATGGAAATGCCCAGCTGCTAAATGAGCTGTCTCTGTGGACACTGAGGATAATGACAGTACCGGTGATGAGGGGGGAAAAAACAAACTAGGAGCTAAAGAGCTATAAGAAAGGCAGGTGGTATCTGAGCTTACAAGGAGCTGAGCATTTTAGGGAAAAAACAAAACAAAACACTAAGATCTAGAAGCAGCAATGAAAAAGCAAAGAGGTCACTCCGGCATTTCCAATCCCAGAGGAAGTTGGATTTAGAAGAAAAACCAATCACTATTTGACAAGGCTACAGGAAATGCTGTACTTTCAGGAGAGAGCCTGAAGTTTCCTCTGAGAAGAGGAAGGGGAAAGTCTGGGAAGCCTAAGGATGTAGGGGATTTTGCAAATGATAGACTATGAGTTTCAAAGACCAGTTTCTTTGTTTCTTTAAATCCATCTTCACCCACGTTTATGTTTCTGTGAATTTTCAGAAAGGATGTAAAAGAAATTGTTAGCAGCCTGGGGATGATGTACCAACCCAGTGTGGATGAAATTTAAATCCTTAATCTGACCAGTGAGGAAAGAAGGAACAAGCTTGTCAGGCACATTATTGAGGGGATTTCCAGAGGGTAGGAAGTAACCACAGGTCACTGAGATTCTATGACTACAAGAATTAGGCTGTTTGGTGGTGGTGGTGGTGGTGGTGGTAATTTTTTGTTTTTATTTTCTTGGGGGTTTTTTGTTGTTGTTTCTTTGTTTTTAACAAATCGTGTCCCACATCTGGGTCTCAGTTTCCATAATTGTTAAGTGAGGAGAGTGAATCTTGTTTTCTGTTGGCTGCCTAGCTCTGATGGTTTATGGACCTCCTGGAAGCAGCTCTGGGTCCAGTCCTGTGTGAGGGAAGGGAAACCAGAGAGGCACAGAGCAGACACAAGAACCTAACAGATGGAAGCATAAACCCAATAACACATTTCCCTTCACAGACACATCGCTACCTAGTTACACACACACACCAGCCAAGAAAAACCAGAATTACTTACACAAGCAATCACCTGCACCCTTCTCCACAGCACCCTTCTCAGTGGTCAATTATCCTGCCCAGCAATGTCATGTCACATATAGTGTCCCAAAGCCACTGTCACCCAAAATCTCAGGCCCAGAAACCCCCACCTACCTTGAGCAGGTGAGGTAACTGCTGAGTGGCTAGTTCCTTAAATTCATTGACACTGAGGCTGCCCTTCCGGCCCTCTTGACCCGCAAAGGTGAAGAAGGTGGTGACCACTGTCTCAATGGCTGCCTCCAGCTCAGTCAGTGGTTCTGCTGCCATTAGGGCCCTGGGGCTATGGCTGATGTCCTCAGGGGGCTGACCTGCTGGGCGGGGAAGGAACGAAAGGGAGAGTCAGGATAGGCCAGAGTGCCCCTCTCCTGGACTAGACATTATGGGGAAGAAAGGAGGATGGAGCTTGGGGCAGGGGAATAGTTTCGTGTGGGTGGGTATTTATTTCCAGAAACCCCTTCCTCTCTAGATCTCAGTCTGGGGGGTCCTCTTGAAGTGCCTACCTCTTAAGGACCCTTCTGTGGTCCTTCCCTCTGCCTGAAGACCCCTGTCAGGGAGGAGGCTTTCAGTCTGAGGGGCGCCTTTGGAGCCCTCTTAGTTTCCTTACCCCTCTGTGGGGTTGTCACAAGGGCCCTTTCTTGGAATGTCGCCCAGCCTCAAGGGGTCAGGAGGTTGTTTGTCTCCAAAGCTTGTTTGTTTGTGTGGGGACCTGGGTCATCACCCGCAGGCACTCTGTCTGCCCCTCCCAGTAGAGCAGCCCCGTCTGGCAAATGCCCAGCTGCAGTCAAGGCTGGCTCCTTCAGGCCAGACCCGGCCTCCCGGGGCCCCTCCCTGCCTCCCAGCAGGGCCAGCTGGGCAGAGCGCAGAACCCCCAGGCCTCCGCCTCTAGCCCTCTTTCCGAGTGACAGGGGTCCTGGATGGGCCTCTCTGACTGCCGCCGCCCAGGAAGGGCTTCGTCCTCACACTCACAGCCCCAGGGACCGGGGACGGGCTGGAGGAATCCTCTTTTTTCAGCTCTCCCTCCTCCTCCCCTAACAAAAACTGTGGTTGATTTCTCCAAGCCACTTCCTAAATTCCAGTCCGAGTGGGCTCCGGGGCAGGTTCCTGGGAGCCCAAGGAGGAAAAAGGCTCCCCAGGCTCCCTCCAGAGTTAAGGGGGACGCAACTCACCGGGGCAAGTCGCGGAGATGGGGTGCAGCGCTTGGGAGCCTCGCGGCTGCGGTTTACATGCGCCCAGGCTGCGAGGCGGGCCGCTCCCGAGCCCGGAGGTGTCAAGTTTCCTGGTTGATTCTGATGAGAGGGGACGCCCAATGACGCCTGGCGCCCCTCTCCCGCCCAGCGCCAAGCAATCGGCCCTGGATTCCGGGTTCCCCGACACGCCCCAACGCTAGCCCAGCCCACGCGCACACCCCCTTGGGGTGGGGGGGCACCTGCCTGGAACTGCTTGGCCAGATCCCGCTCAGCCTAGAGCCTAGGGTCCTGTCCCTCCCAATACAGCAGCCTGTGCCCCACCACACTCCCAAGTCTAATCAGGGGGCACGGGGGCGGGGCGAGGACATCTGCAGATTGAAAGAACCAAGTGTGGGATGTCAGCACTGACAGGCCCAATCTAAGAAACCCCCATCTCAGAATGAGGTCTCTCAAAGGACCCTGCAACTCAAGATCCCCTCAAGAGGTCCTAGACTGAGACCCCATAGAGGAGACCCCAGATTGAAATCCTCAGTGGAGTCTCACCCTGAAACCCCTGAGGGAATCTTCCAAGACTAAATTATTCAGTGGGCTTCTCCCCTTCCTTGCCTAGCTGGCCACAGCTGGGTACCGGGGGTTTGGGAGGGGGTCTGGGGGGAGGGCTCAGTGTCCTTCCCAGGATCTTTCCCACCTCCCTCCCTCCTAGGCCCTGCCTGTTGGGATCCAGGCAACCAAGCTTGGAAAAGAAGACATAGGGCAGCTTGTTCCAGCCCAGGAGACAGAGGGCGCCTCTGTCCACTCCTGGCCCCTGGCCCCACTGGGTGTCTGCGAAGGGGTGGAGCCAGTGGAGGGGGGTCAGGGGGGGAAGGACTGGAGACAGGTCTCCTCACACGGCTCCAATAGCCACATTTGCAGCCTTGTCTCTCTGTCCAGAACCTGCTCCCAACTCAGGCCCAGGCTGACAGTGAGTATCCTGCCCCATCCAGCCCTGGCCAGCTTGAGGGAAAGGGGACTGAAGCTGGGCTCCAAGAGTTTGGGGACTATGGTACTGTGGTTTCCCCTTGCCCTGGGAGGAGTTTAGATGACAGCAGTTTGGGATTTGGGGGAGACAGGGTTTGGAGGGTCGTCAGGGAAGGCAAATGAAGGTCAGAGGAAAATTCAGGAACTACGTGAGTGAGGAAGCCAGTGGGGAAGCTAGCTGCCAGGGAGCCCTTACGTGCCCTCCCAAGGCTCCCTCCATCTCCCAGGTGCTGGGGATGGGACCCTACCCTTGGCTCACTTCCAGTGAGGGAAGAATAAGAGAGCAGATGGAACAGCTGCTTCTGCCCAATCCCTGCAGCCTCAGCCTCTGCCACCCCCACCCAGCCTTGACAAGAGCTCAGGGCCCGGGAAGTCTGGAGGTGGTAGAGTATGGACCATGAGATATCAGGAAGAGGGGGCACTGGGGTATTATACCCACTCCCAATTCTCCCTTCATATAACCTCCCCTGTCTCCTACTCTTCTGGAGTCTCCAGACCTCCAGCCTCCTCTTCCCCTAATTCTTTTCCCTTTGTTTTCCCATCTGCCCCCTCCCTGCCAAGAGCCTCTCAGAACTGCCCCTACATAAAATGCCTGACTGCTCAAGAGCTCCAGGCAACCTCTAGGTGCCCCTCCTGGATGGGGCCAGTAACTGAGCCACCAGCACCCCTCCTTCACATGCCTCTTATCCCCTCCATCAGCCAGGCTTGGGTTCCATCTCCCCCAAGTCTCTGTGACAACCGCTTCTCATGTCCGGAGTTCAGGTGACACTCACAAGGGCCCCATTGAAGAGCTAGGATGTCATTCGATCAGGGCCCATTGTCCAGCCCTTCAGGCCTGGGGCAGGATGGGGATACCTGATCCAATATACCTGAGCTGCCCCCTGGGGCTGTGGAGGGACTGACTGCCCCAAAACCAAGGGAAAGAGACCCCTGGCTTGGCAGTCCCCTCTCTTCAACAGACCCCTCCATTTTTCTCCTCCCCCTCCCAGCCCCTTGAACTCAGAGGACCTCATTCACTCAGCCCTTTATCTCCCCCAATACTCCCAATACATACCAGCCCCCTTCTCTCTGCTGCTACTGTCCCGGCATCTACCAGACTGGGCCTTGGGTGGGAGTGGCCAGCAGCAGGGACAAGATCACACAGGTCTCTTCTCCTCTCCCCTGGAAGCTCTGGCTCCAGGGCAAAGGCTCAGACACTCCTCTCTCCCTTCCCACCACTACCCAATGGAAGGGCTGATTCTGCAGAGTAAGAGGAACCAAACTAGAGGTAATGGAGGCATACCTCAGGGAGCCAAAGTGCCATGTTCAGGACAGAAGAGTGGAAGGACCCAACAAGGCTCCCTGTCTGCTGACAGGAAGCTCAGAGGCAATGAGACCCTCTCCCCATGAACATTGGGTCATCCACTCAGACTGGCACCCTCTCCATCAGGTCTCCAAGGGCACCAGATTGACTCCTTGCCAGGGGTGGGCAGTAGACTCAAATCTGTAGAGAAGAGTCCAGCCCACCACCCCCAACAGAGGCTATGCTAGGCAGGCAAAGTCCAGGGTAAAAATAGAGCCAGAGGAAGCCTGGCTGGGTCCTGTGACCACCCCTGCCTGCCTGCCTGCCTGCATGCTTGCCACACCCTCCTCAGTGTCTGCCCAGGCAGCCAGGAGACATTGCAAAGCCCACTGCAGGCTTCCGGAGCGAGCCCTGCTCCAGCTGTTGTTCTACCTCCATGCCCTAAACCCTGACTCCCTCTGGCTGGGGTATGAATTGAGGGACACAAAGAATGGCTCGGGACTTAGATCTGTTTGTGTTCCCCTACCTCATAAAATCTCAGTGAGAGGTAAATTGTGATGGGGCTCCAATCTGATGTCTATTTGGGCTGTGGAACCAGGGCCAGGTCTGAGGGCTTCCCTCACCCTGACCCCAGATATCCTGAGCACGGTTCTCAGCTCACTTCCATGGTGGGGGCGGGTAGGTGAACTGCGCAATGGGTTCTGAGCTGGAGACGGCGATGGAAACTCTCATCAATGTGTTCCATGCCCACTCGGGCAAGGAAGGGGACAAGTACAAGCTGAGCAAGAAGGAGTTGAAAGAGCTGCTGCAGACTGAGCTCTCCGGCTTCCTGGACGTGAGCACATGGCAGGGGTACAGGGTGGAATGGGTGAAGGGTAGGGAACAGAGCGGGCATCTCCCTGCCATCTCCCCAATCCATCCTAGCCCATCTTATCTATCTCCTGGTTCAAGTAAGAATGCCCTGATTTATTGACCACCTGTGTCAGGTCCTGTGTAAATGCATCAATAACAAGTCTCACAGTCTAGAAGGGAAAGACTGACACTTGAAAGTAAACCTTGAACACCAGAAGCGCACAGAGCCTTAACAGAAGTGGCAGGAAAAATTATGGGAGAATATTAACCTGGCTGAAGTGGGATGGTTTCTCCAAAGAAATGGCACTTGAGCCATAGACTTCCAGCGGAAGATTATTAGGGTAAATGTAGACACCTTAGGAGGATGTATCTGCATGAATAAAAGTATGGCAGAAAGAAGAATATGCAGCATACTCAGTAGTTTTGACTGGAGTGAAGGATGCAGAAAAGTAGACTAGCTCTGGCCGGGTAGCTCAATTGGTTAGAGCATCGTTCCCATATGCCAAGGTTGCAGGTTCGATCTCTGGTCAGGGCAGGTAGGGAAAGCAACCAATGAATGTATAAATAAGAGGAACAACAAATCAATGTTTCTCTCTTTCTCTCTCTCTCTCAAATCATTTTTTTTTTTATAAAGTAGGCTAAAGGGGAAGCAGAAAGTGCACCAGCTTTTATTAGACCTGAGGTTTTATTAGACCTGAGTTCAAATTCTGACACTGACACTTTCTAGCTGTGTGACTTTGGACACATTATTTAACCACCAACTGTCAATTTGTTTCTTCTCTAGAATGGGAATAATGAAATCTACTTTATACTATTTGTGTTAGAATTAAATAAGATAATGCTTGTAAACTCCAGGTGTAGTACTTATCCCACTGTAGGCACTCAACATATAGCTGATGTTATTATTATTCAGCCTCATTGAGGAGCTTATTCTGTAGGAAACAAGAGGCCACAAGTGTTAGTTTTGAGAAGGCAGTAGAAGAGTCCCAAAATTAGATGTAGTTCTCCCTTTTGTTCATCTATACCTCCTTCTTCCCAGTCAGTCACCCCACCCCACCCTTGCCTCTGACTCAGTGCTATATACATCTCTATACAACTGTCTCTCTATCTCTTCACTTCACAGGTCCAGAAGGATGCGGATGCTGTGGACAAGGTGATGAAGGAGCTAGATGAGAATGGAGATGGGGAGGTGGACTTCCAGGAGTATGTGGTGCTGGTGGCTGCCCTCACAGTGGCCTGTAACAACTTCTTCTGGGAGAACAGTTGAGCAGACAGCCCCAGTGGGCAGCGCCCTTCCCCTCTGCACTGCCATACCTGCCCCTACACCCTGCTTTCCTTTCACCCTACTTTTCCCTCCTCATAGTCCCACTTTTGCCCACCCTCCAGCAAGGGCGCAAGAGTAGTGGGCCAGGCCTGCAACTCATCTTTCATTAAATGGTCCTCTCTCACCAGCTGTTGTCTGTCTCCTTTGGGCTCTGGAAGTGGGTGGGGAAGTGAAGGTGGCTCACTTCCAAACTTGCCTTATTTGAGATGGGATCATATTTGGAAAGAGGTCAGGGGACATCTTCCTACTGAGGAATGCTCAAGGCTCAGGAAGGCAGGGGTTCAAGGTTCCAGCTAGAAATGAATGAGACGTTAACTTCTCAGCTATAAAGCCAGAAAAAGACTTTTCCTTCAACCTTCAAAGACTATTTGGAGGATCTTCCATGTGCTAGACATTGTGTAGGAACTGGGGTACAGCAGTGAACAAAACAAACACGACTCTTACCTTCACACAGATAAAGTCCAGTAAGGTCACCAGACCATTAAACATACAAATATAAATGCTAGGAAGGAAAGCGAAAGGATGGGCATATATGGGGGAGGAGGGAGTTGAAGATGTGTTTATTTATTCACCAAACATTTGGGCATTCTGTGTACCCAGGCATTAGAAAAACCCTGTACCCTGAGTATGTCTGTATCAAAATCCATAAGGATGGTAAATGGGGAGGGAGAACCTGGAAGGGGGTACAGGGACTCAAAGATCCCACTCAAATAAGGATTTAACAATTTAACTATATTCAGGCCAAGTTGGGGCGGGGAGAAAGTGAAGAGAATAATATGTACAGGTGGTGGTGACTGAAACAGGATCCAGTAGGTGTGTTCCCAGCACTGGTCCTAAGGCCTTGGCTGGGGCGCTTGTGGCACTCCACAACTTTCTGAACAGAGCGAATGATGAAGGGAGAATCAGCGCAAATCACCCAGGCCGTGGTCCGAAAGACAGACCAACACAAGTCAAGCGTAAAGAATTTTAGACGGTCTGCCTTAGCTTGGGGGCGGCGAGCAGGAGCGCGAGGAAATACGAACAAACATGTTTCTCACGGGATCAAATCCACTCTGGGCAACCCAGATTTTCTACTAACAACACTGCCAGGAGGGAAAAGTTCCTCCAAGACCCAAACGCGAAGCCCGGGCCATGGCCCTCCGCGGGCAAAGGACTGCGTGTACTCAGAAGGGATCTTTGCTAAAGTCCCGCCTTCTCCCTACGGGTCCGCCCCTATTCCCGCGCAGGCGTAGCACAAACCTTCCCGCCCCCTAGTTGTGCGCGGATCTGACGTATGACGTAATCGCGTCGACGCCATTTTAGCCGGTCCCACTCCGCACTGGGCGTGGCGGCCATTTTGTTTGGACACCGAGCGGGAGTTGGCGGCAGCGGCTGTGGTGGCACAGACGAAAGGCAGGGGAGGCAGGCCGAGTGAGCAGGTGGACCGGCCAACCAGACAGCCAGCTAACAACAACGAACTAACCTAGCAGTCTACTACTTACGCATCTAGCCAACCAAACAAGTTAACCCCAACCTCTCCACCATCAACTCAGGTTCGGCCGGCCCCCGGCCCGCCTTCCGCAGCCGTCGTGGCAGCCCCGGGAGGAGCACTGGCGTCCTTTTCCTTCGGTAGGTTTCCTTGGTGAGAAGGAAAGTGTTGGGGAGCGGAAGGGGCCGGCGGACCGGACAGCGTTGGGATGTGGAAGCACACAAGGTGCTGGAGTGTGGAAGCCCCGGGGAGGGGGCGGAGCCCCGGGGAGGAAGACGGGGCGGGCCGAATTGGAACTGGTGGCGGGATTGCTGGAAAAGGTTAGCATTTGATATGGATAAAAAGGAAAATTGTTTGGCTAGTAGTGCACAGTTTGCAGTCTTGACAGGACTTTGAGGTGGTAGGGAGATGAAATGAGGACTACGGGATTTGGGGGGAACATTGGAAAGTAATGGCGGCTTTAGGGTTAAATTTTGTGGAGCACCTGGGAGCTAACTCCCAGGTGAATGCCCGATTAGGAAACCTTGCCTGCCGCCTTCGCCAGGTCCCCAGACCCTTGCTCAGGCCCCTACTTTTTTGGAGTCGAATGCCAATTTTGAAACTCGGTATGCCTGTCATCTCTCTGGATCAGTGATTCTCTATTTTGGCTGCACATGAAAAGCACTGAGTACCCTTTTTTCCCTTCTCCAGTTGCTGACCCCCCCAGACTTCACCACCAGATATTGTGGTTTAATCGGTTTGGGCCCAAGCTTCTGCATTTCCTTTTAAAGTTCCTTGTAGCCAAGGTTGTTGAGTACTGTGCTAGATGAAAAGCCAAACTCTTGAACTTTAGCTAGGTCTAGGTCTGCCATTTTAGAGGCTTTGGCAGATGCTTTCTGTCCATTGGCCTTGAAGTGTTTTAGTTTGACATAACTATACATTTAAGCACGAATTTTAGTGTCCTGACTTATTCACTGTTGGTTTGGGCCTTTTGCCCCTTATAGAAATGAGGTCGTTGTTATTCTGATTTGCTCATTTTGTCTATTGTCCTCTGTAGATCCTCGGGATTTGAAGATGGCTGCACAGTCAGCACCGAAAGTTGTGCTAAAAAGCACCACCAAGATGTCTCTAAATGAGCGGTGAGGCAGCGAACAGCAACTTCAGCTCATTCATAAGAAAACGTTACTTAAATTGGCCCTGGGGTCCAATGCACAAAAACCGGTTTTAAACTAAATACCAACAGAAGGCTACAGACCTCTGTTCATAGTTGCATCTTACTTATGTGGTACACAGAGCAAATTGGGCGGTTGTTTCAAAACCCCTTATCAGTAGATTTTTATGTTAAGCTGTCTGAAATATTTATTTGGTGGGATGTATTTTAAAAAAGACTCCTCACACCCTCCCTTTTCTTCACATGTTTTTAACATTGATAACAGGGATGGTGCAGCTCGGTAGCACAGTATCCTGGCTGCAGTAGGCTTGCTGCCCAGTCCAAGGCCAGCAGTGTTGTGTCTGGCCTGTAAGAGGCAGGTAGCAAGCTTTGAATATGTCCAGAGGCCCTTGAATGCCATTCTTGGGCCTTGTAAGAGGCACTTGCTTTTGCTCCATTTCACTTTCTTTCCATTCTGCTTTTAGTTTGTTTTGTTTTGGATTCTTTACAGTTACGTGTTCTTCTCTTCCATTCCATTAAACTTACCTTTACAGGAATAATAGAAGAGTGTCTTCACAAACTCTTAAACAGTTGAACTAACCTAACTTCAGAAGTAGTCAGTTGAAGTAGAAAAACTTAATCATTTGAGACTAAGAAAAGCGAAGATATTAAAAGGAAGTTTCTATCCATGAGAGCTCTATTCATTGAGTGCCTTTGACCAGTAATTTCAGTAAGTTGATAAATCAGACCACTGTATATTTTTGCCTTTTCTGAAGCATATGTGCTCCTCTCCTCTTAGGGTATGATATATTAATTCATATTCATGTAACTAAGTGACCAAATATATAAGAAAATGTGATGCATTCCTATGACTTACATGGGTGCATTATTTCCCTGGGCTTTGAAGGTGCTCCAGTCCTTCTTATATTTGCCCTTAAATGCACCCTCAGTTCTCCCAAGGTTTTGACTTCCTTTGTTTGTCTTTGAAACTACATCTTTTGTCTTGTGTTGTCATCATATCTGCTTATTGCGTGTTTTTCATACCTTCCACCTCTCTAAAAGCCGTTACTTGAGCCCTTGTTATCACTTTTGATTGAGTGTGCTGCACTTAGCTGCATTTCTAAGTTTCTGATTCTTGCAAGTTTATGGAAGCAGAGGAGTCTTTAACCCACATCAGCCTTGATCTAAGTGTACCGCTTTACTTAAAAGTTCGTGGGATCTGGAGTTCCTGGTCTAGCAAGCCATGAAAATGCCAATAAATGTTTTATAATAAAGCTTTTATTTAAACATCCATTTTGTTCGACCTTGAAGCTTTACTAATATGCTGAAGAACAAACAGCCGATGCCAGTGAATATTCGGGCTTCGATGCAGCAACAACAGCAGCTAGCCAGTGCCAGAAACAGAAGACTGGCCCAGCAGATGGAGAATAGACCCTCTGTCCAGGCAGCATTAAAACTTAAGCAGGTGAGAGAATGAGTCTTAATGTTCCAGAAGCAGCTGGTGGTCTCTGTCAGGCAGTCCACTAAGACTGTCAGGAGTGATACAAGGTGGCTCAGGGCAAAAGCTGAAACTTCTTTGGAAGAAAGAGAGATTCAGAGAATTCCCATTTTGACAGGTACCAATAAGTAACTTTTTGTTGTCTTTCTCTTTTAGGGAGTATGCCATCAATGTGGCCTGTTTCTCTGTTATCAATGAGTGCTAATCTCTTGTTTCCTGATCCTTTGCCCTTAAAGTAAATTCACACTGCTTTTTTACACAAAGAAATTTTGGTTTCTGTTTTAGATTACCTTCAAAAAGTCCTTTATTTTGTTAAATAATTTAAAAATTAGGGTAATCATTGTATCATTTCTCCTCTAGTCCAGGTAGTCTGAATGACCTCAGTCAGTGGCTTTCAGTGCTAAAATATAGAAATAGTAGGGTGACCCTCATCTCCACAGCACCTTAACTTTTGTCGGTAAAATAGAGCTAGCACTGAGTAATTTAAAAGTTAATGAATTCACTTTCAAATTTCCAGTGAGAGAGAATCCTGTTCAGACCTGAAATAAAGCCTGCTCTTTATTATTCATAGACTTTATATGCAAGTCCGGACAGTGGCTGTGGAAGGATATGTCCAAGCTGTGGCTGGGCGTCTGGAGGGCGGTGCCATGCAACTGTAAGGACTTTAACTGGTAGCACTGCATGGCTGTGCATAAATTCAGCAGTTAAATATAACACCCACCCCCACCCAGAACCATTGGGCTCACTGACCAAAAATAAACAAGGCCTTCTGCTTCAGCTTCCTTAAGCCTTGGAGTGACTGCATTCATCCCTGACTCAGGAAAGCAGTAAAGGCACCACCGTTTTCCAAGAGTAAATATAAAAATTGCTGAAGACAAGTCTCCGACAGATCATTCCAAAGGATCTTCCAACAAGAAGCATTAAGTATAAGCTGTGCATAAATAGCCTCTAGAGCAACACAGTCCAATAGACTTTCTACCGTAGTAGAAATGTTCTATGTTAATACTCTCCAGTACATAGCTGCTAGCCATATGGGACTTTTGAGCACTCAGATGTGGTTAGTGCAATTGAAGAGCTTGCTTGGTGAAGACTGGGGAGGGGTCTTTTATTGTCATTTGAATAGCCATGTGTGGCTAGTGGCTACCTTAGCATACAGCACAGTTCTGGAGTAGAAACTAGATGATATAATGGACATTCTTAAGCTCAATGTTAGAGACCAGCATTGGTGGCAAGTAAGGCTTGCGAAGGGAGAAGAACTTCTAAGCACTGTACATTCTCCCCTTAAAACACAGATTTTCGGGATGACTAAACACAAATGACATAGGATGAAGTCCTGATCTCATGATAGCATGCTGTCGGGAGAAATGTAACAGGCTTTTATGATTGGTTACACTTGCTCACACTAGGTGCGTAATGTTCAGAGCCTGCCCCTCTGTTTAGGAGTAGTTTATGATCTTGTGCTAGAAAGCTAATAATAACTCAGAACATATGGTTGCAAAAGAAGTCATTGGTAGTCGCTTATGGGTGAAGCCTAGGGATACATAGAATTTATTTTCGTATATGTTCACTGATGGCTTTATAGGAAAACAAGTTTTCTAAGGCTTTAGTTGTGTTCAAGGTTACATAGTCAACTTTTTCTTTGAAGGAATTTAATTCTTTGGGATGTGGTCTTCATAGTTTTTCTTTGAGGAACAGCTTATTGAAAATCTTCATCTCTGGTATGTCTTTGTCCTCAAGTGTGGGCCTGAGTTTTGTGTCTTTATTCCAATGCAAATTTGGCTGGCTCCCTGTGGAGATACATTTGAGTTTTATGTGGTCATGATACTGGTTTACTAGAGTTGTTTGCAAGGGTAGACATGGAATTATGGCTGTTTAAGAAATGTAAGAAAAGGAGGTTTGACTTTTTTGTGTTTATGTACATTTTAAGGTAAAAAGTGGATCATCTGGAGATATGTACACAGGAAAAAGAACACGTTGGCCTCTTTGAGAAATCAAATGTTGTTCTTAAGTCACAAGAATTCAGATGAACTTTTAATTTAAATTTTGCACAGAGTGTGATGAACTTCCTATGAAGTTTGAATAAACCTTTGAAGACAGTGGTAGTCCTTGTATGAATCAAGTCATCATTGTCAACCTGTGGTTCAAAAACAGCAGAATCAGGATTTGAAATATAGAGTGTTCTTACTAAAACTTAAGTTTCATGTAGTTGTGTGTAACTTTTGTAGCCAAACTAGCAAGGTAGTTTGTGGTGATGCCAATTTCATGGGACCAAACTCAAGATTCTTAGCAGCTCAGGATTAGAATTTTGCTTTTGCACCATGTTCTGAGGCTTGCTTCTGGTTTAACATCCTTATGACACCCACAGCAGGTTTATCTGCCTCCACACAGACATCTCACTTGCTTCTTTTTCTCTGCACTTTGAGTTACGAAATCCCACTGGGTTGTTTTTTTGATCTCAATCCCCCAACACCTTTTTTTCCAGAAGAGCTTAAAGCAGCGTCTGGGTAAGAGTAACATCCAGGCACGGTTAGGCCGGCCCATAGGGGCCCTGGCCAGGGGAGCGATTGGAGGACGAGGCCTGCCCATAATCCAGAGAGGCTTGCCCAGAGGAGGACTACGTGGGGGACGTGCCACGAGAACCCTACTTAGGGGCGGGATGTCGCTCCGAGGTCAGTGCTATGTACCTGATAATTGTCAAGCCCCACCCCCTTTCCTTTTCTCTTGGGCTGCTTATGGACACATTTTTTAACATCTTTAAGCCTGAATTTGTATTAATATAATCAGTAACTTGAAGTCACATTTTTAATAGTGCTGCATGTTCTTTTATCGATGCCATTCCTTTTCTGATAATGTACAATGGTGAGAGGCTATGGCCTGCGTAACAACAGGTAATCCATGTCATCTCCATTCCATTTTAAAACACCCTGCTGCTGCTTGAATCAAAGCACATTTAAGTTCTAGAAGTAAGTCAAGTCTAAGAAATGTATGGGTCTGTTGACCTATAACTTAACCAATCATCTCTTTTCCTGTTGCTAGTGAAATACTGTTGTATCTGTAAAAAAGAGAAGACAAGTTGACCCGTAGCACTTAGCTATATATTACATTTGAGGCACTGTTATACTGTTCCCTATACAGTTCTTGTCCCCTACAACAATGTTTTGAGAGCAGGAACCGTATCATTTATTTGTAAATTTATTGGAATGTTAGGCACCTATCTGATTATTCAATAAATACTTAATTAAATGTACATACTTACTAACTAACTTAACTCCTCCCAGTTTCTTCCAAAAGTGGATTTTTGGTCAGACTTGTTGAATTGATTGAATAAAGAACATCTTAATCTGTTCACACTCAGTATGCAGCTTGCCCCACCCAACCTAAAAATTACCTGAATTAACTCATTTAACCCTCACGCCTTCCTTTGGTTAGAATCTACTTTGTTTCTCTTGGATTTACCTGCATATACATTGTATGCCTCCTCTCCAAGGTCAAAACCTGCTCCGAGGTGGACGAGCCGTAGCTCCCCGAATGGGCTTAAGAAGAGGTGGTGTTCGAGGTCGTGGAGGTCCTGGGAGAGGGGGCCTAGGGCGTGGAGCTATGGGTCGTGGCGGAATCGGTGGTAGAGGTTAGTCAGCTACCAACTTCAGAGAATAGCTCCCTCTTATTTCTCTCCCTTCAAAACTCAGAGCCGCCTTTCTGCACAGCTTCAAGTCATAGGCAGGCTTATTTGTTTGTCTTGTTTTGTTTTTTGAAACTGGCTTATTTTTCTAAATGCACATGGTGATAGTGCAAAAGTCTTTCATGGGTTTTCCTAGAACTAGTAAGTTGCATGTTACAGAGTCAGATTATATGCAGTCTTCTAGACTCTTGTGAATTTAAATTGTATTACTAAAATGACATAGTGGTTGGTTTGGGCTTTTACCTTTCTCTATCCCTGCCCCACCACCACACACAACCCACCCCATAATTCAAAACCCCACTTTTGAGTCTAAGAATCTAGAAGAGGAAGATGTACAAAAATGAAGCAGATTTAAAGAGCTGGATATTGACTCTGAAACCAAGTAAAGTCAAGGTAAAGTTTGTGTCTGTGGGAAACCAGCAATGACTCGGACTTTTTTTTTTTCTTGCATTTGTCTTCAGATAGAGCAGGAGGGAGGAAAAGAGAGAGACACATCAAGTGGTTGCCACCCACAGGACCCCACCAGGGCCGGGGACAAACTGCAACCGAGGTACGTGCCCTTAGTGGAAACCAAACCCAGGACTCTATGGTCCACGGGCCGACACTAACCGCTGAGCCAAACCAGCCAGGGCAGCGATGACTCTTTTTGAGAGTACATTTATAAAAGCTAGGGACAGTGAAACAAGGAAGGGCCTAGAATAGAAGAAGCAACAAAAGGGGACCTTGGAGACAGGTTCAGGGGGTTAGCCTAGAACCAGGTGCACATTGCCCATTGTTCCCCTGGTTGCAAGTCTCTTGAGGAATCCCTTAAAGTTTAGGAAATGCACGCCTGTGGGGAAGTAGAGGGGAGAAGGGAGGGCACGGGATTGCTCCCATGAGGGAGAGGGTGCCCAGAGATTACTTATTTTGATGAAGGTAGAAAGCAAGCATGGTATTTTGTCAGTTAACTGACTCGTGTTGATAATAATCTTACCTTTGAGACTTAGTGATATTTGTCTTGTGACCTCTTGACCCAGATTGGGAGAGCTTAATGGTGTTGCTGTTAAAATGCCAAATCTCATGGGAATTTTCTGGCTTAGAATTTAGTGGAAAACTCCCAACAACACCTGTCTAAGAAAAAGAAAATTTTTATTATCTTAGCCCTGTGTATATTGACTTTGGTCCTTTTAAAGTGTGTGATGGGTCTTCCATAATTTATGACCTTGAAGTTGCCAAGGGATAATAACTGTTGGGAAAGGAAATTTGATAACTGAGGGCGTGTTTTCTTCTCTTCTATTAAATGTTGCTTGGCTAAAGTGAAGTGCAAGCTAGTTTGGGTTTCAGGGTGAAATAGCATGTTTCCAAATTATCTTGACTTGGTTTCTGAACAACACAGGGGTGGGGGAGTCTAAAGTCTTAGCTGGGTATATTTTAAGTGAATCGAAACCACCTCTCAGATAACCATGATTGTTAAAGGTATCTAGAATAGGAGATAGAAATGGCTGAGACTACTCAAGATGTTTTTTCCCATCTCTCCACATTATTCTTATGTAAAAATAACTCCTCAGTCAGCTCATAAGATCTTTAGGTTTGATAAGTTTGAGAAGAGATGGGCTAATTTTCCAGAAGGATCTCCAGTAAAACTTACTTTGAAAATGATATCTAGCTTCTCACCCCTGTTGCTCTGTGCCCTGATTACTTTCTCCCTATCTTAATTAATGAGTTTATGTGTAATGTATTTTAATTATGAATTTATAGTAGGTCTCGAGCTTTAGATAATTTGTTTTAGGAAAGATTAAGATTTTTCGAATTACCAGTTTCTCTTTGTTTATAGAATAAAAATTGTAAATAGCCTTTAGAGATGAACATATAATAAGGGATTCATTATGTGTGCTTTCCATGTGTTGCTTGCTACCCAGTGTGTTTCCTATTTTTCCAGATTTCTCCTCTTTACCCTGCCCTTCAGCCTCTCAGCTAGGCCCCACTACTCTAAGGGGCATTTACTGTAGCACCCGCTAAAACTACTTGTAACTGTCTTTTTTTCCCTTGGGCCAGGTCGGGGTATGATAGGTCGGGGAAGAGGGGGCTTTGGAGGCAGAGGCCGAGGCCGTGGACGAGGGAGAGGTGCCCTTACTCGCCCTGTACTGACCAAGGAGCAGCTGGACAACCAATTGGATGCATACATGTCGAAAACAAAAGGACACCTGGATGCCGAGTTGGATGCCTACATGGCACAGACAGATCCTGAAACCAATGATTGAAGCCTGCCTACCCTCCTTTGAGAGACTCTTGTTAAAGTTATCACGTCTGTAAATAATTTTGAAATAACAGATGAGAAGAAACCTACCTGATTGATGCTGGAAGGACCTATCACAATAGACTATGGACTTACTTGCCACCAGTTTGTGCATTTAGTGTGTTCCTTTTACTTTTTTGATACTGTATTGTATGAAACCTGTTTTTCCTCTGACTTGGGTTTGGTTTCATTTTGTTGTTTTGGTTTTTTGTGGGATTTTTGTTTGTTTGTTTTTTTCCTTCTCCCAGACGTTTCATGAATGTGTTGGCCGTCTTCCCACCTCTGCCTCCCGTTACCTGCCATATATGCTCTAACATTTCCTCTGTACCCCCTGAAAAAGTCCTAGAAAAAATCCATTCGGTGTTCCTCCTTAATGCCTAGGTTTCTGGGATACAGTTCTGTTCTATATCACTTTAATAGCCTCTTAGAAGTGATTAGAAAATCTGGAATTCAAAAATGCATTCTGCCACTTTGATATTTTAGTATAATACAGGAACATTGGCCTAACTCTAGTGTCACATAACAGGTTATATATGTGTTAGCAGCTCAGATTTGGTTAAAGTTGCTACCATGTGTATTGACACCACATGATGTGAGGTGGTTTGGGAGTATGCATACTTTCTACCCTGGAATAATATTTATAAACTTTCCTCTCAGCTTTGCATCGTGTCCAAAGGGGTACTGTTGGGTTAGTTTACATCTGCAATAGTGAGAGAAACCCCGTTGGTTAAGCAAATGCTTCAGAAGGGGTGGGAGAACTATGGCAGATAACTGCATGGGAAGATACCCATGTTGAATGTAATTATTATGTTTATCCCAAACCAATCTTGGGCTTTTCCATACATTGGCTCTGTTTGACCCACTTATTTTCCTTGAAGGTTTGTAAGTTCAGCCATATTCTGTCAACTGTTCCAGTTTCAGTGGAATCTTGTATTTCTGGTTTATTATAACAAGAAATTGTTCTCTCAAATCCAGCCAGGACTTTCTCTTTATTTGTTGTGCTCTGAAATGCTATGGCTACTATAACAATATCTTGATATACCCTTTGTGGAGCTGAGCCCTTCAAAGTTGTATTAAAAATCTGGGGAAAGGGGTGTTGTGGCTTTGGGACAGAAAGTGTAGAATCTGTCCACCTTTGGGTAAGCCTTGCAGAGAGATTGACCACACAAAGTGATGTACTGACCCGTTTGGTCCATAGAAAGCTCAAACAAGGTGGTCTTGGGCAGTATCCTGGACCTCCACCTGGTTTTCCTTTTTCCCTGTGCTGTTGAAGGAAAATAACCGACTCCAACCAAACCAATTACCATTGAGCTGCCTGGTACCCTAAACTGTTGGGAGGTTGTGTTTATTGCATGCTGGGAAGGAAATTTTGGTTGGGACATCCTGAACTTGAATCCTGTCTGACCTAGGCTACTTTACTTAAACCCTCTGTGCAGCAAGTGGTTTAGTTAGCCCCATAGAAGCGGAGAGCTTGGAAGATCACGTGGGGATAGAGGACTTACCCGTGCTGACATAACCAGCCTGACCTGGATTCTAAGTGTACTATAATTCTCTTAAGAATGTACTGAGACTGGAAGTCTTCAACCCAGACAGGTATTCATAACCTTTAATTAGAAGGAATAAGTATTTTTGTGTGGGTATGGCTCGTTGTAAGATCTCTTTTGGCAGCCCCCAAGGTTTCTGTGAGGGAGGTACTGATCAGTGGGCAGGCTACCTTGCAAACTTCATATCCCCTCATTGCCTTGCATCAGGCACCTCCTAGGGCCTCTAGGAAACCTTTGGGAAGAGAAAGGAAGGGGGAGCTGCAAGGTGAGTGGATTCCTTACCCTCTTAATACAACCTGGAGTGACCTGCTGGGATTTTCCCCGTTTCCAAATACTTGGCCCCTCCCCCAAGGTAGTTAACAAGTATGTTCCCCTAAAATTACTTCTTTTTACCTAGAACTTTATCTCAGGATATTTTTTATCTGGTGGCTTTTGAGCCACCTCCAATAATACATCAGAATCCTTCCTCTAAGAAGTGAACAACACAAAGGGTTCTGGAGCAATATGAGTAAAGGAGAACCTAGTGGGGATAGAGAGGGTAGGGCTACAGTGGGGCCCTTCAGCAGCAGCAGTCCTCCAGTTCCTACAGCGCCCCATTACAACTCCATGCAGCTCACACCTCTGCTTAGGCCCATCTTCTTTATTTGGAGTTCTCCCCACACTTGGCAAGACTTCCAGGATAAAAACTATGGAAGGAGTACAGAAGTGGGGAAAGGGGCACAGGATGGCAGCAAGTGTCTCCCTCCCACCACCACCACCTTCATCTACTAATGGAATTCCTTAGGGAGAAGGTGTATTTCAGGACAGTCCCTGGCTGCCTCAACCCCTTGGGCTAAGAAAGAGAAGGTGGGTCCTTTGAGAAAGGGGAACTTCCCTAAGGTGCTGGGTGTACCTTAGTGGCTCTCTCCTAGGTCAGCCTCTTCTAACTCAGGCTCCCCCTGCCCAGGGTGCTTTCAGTCCCACCACATTCTGCTGACTCAGTGGCTGTGCAAAAGGACTTGCCCATGTCCTCTACACCCTTCTCTTGCACTGGCTCCACTTGGCAGTGTAGGGAGCTAAGACCAGTTTGGAGCTCATGTTTCTAGAATCTGAAATCCTTATTACTGTGAAAATGTCAAGGCATAGCCCTGACCAGCATTGGCCCACGGACCAAAGAGTCACGGGTTTGATTCTAGTCAAAGGCATATGCCTCGGTTCTGGTGTGGTACCTGGCCCTGGTCGGGAGTCCTGCGGGAGGCAACCAGTCAATGTCTCTGTGTGTGTCTCTCTCTCTCTCTCTCTCTCTCTCTCTCCCTCCCTCCCTCCCTCCCTCCCTCTCACTCTATCTGAAGGTAAATGGAAAAATATCCTCAGGTGAGGATTTTTTTTTAATGTCAAGGCATAGCCTGGTGGTCAGGGCACCCTGAAGCATCCTAATGGGGTGGAGGGTAGGTGCTTTAAGGGTCTCAGTGGAGACAGGAAATGAGGTGAGGACTGGAGCATAAGTCTTCTTCCCTTTCTGCCTCTATTCTTTCTCCGTTTCCAACCTTGGGTATAAGGAACTCCCCTACAGTCATTGGCTCTCTAACCCCACCTGCTGTTCACTAGTTCCTGCGTCTCCTGAGGCTTGTGCCCCATTTCTGCCATCCTCTGTCCCTGGGTAGAGTGGGACAAGAAGAGTCAGCCTGGCTCCTAGCTCAGCCTTCTGTAGAGGGCTTGCCATACAGACATGAACAAGGCATTGTTAAAAGGGCACAGGGAGCACAGAAAGAGATAAACTGAATCTTGAAAGTCATAGGAAAGTTGAACAGACAAGGAAGACAAATATTCCAAGTAGAGGGAATGACAAATACAAAGGTATCCAAACCTAAAAGAGCATGTTGTATGCCAAAGAAAGTAAGTGTGTGTGTAAGTGGAGAGAGGCTCAAGAAGTCTCTGGGAACTGATGGCAGCAGCCTTCATGGGCTTCTTACCTTGTAGGGCTAGAGTCCTCTTTCTTTATTTTTATTGATTTTTTTTTTATTTATTTATTTATTTATTTATTTATTTTATAGGAGCCGCATTTTATTTTATAGCTGATGGGTCCAAGATCCCATCTTTTTTTTCTTTTAGATTTTTTATTGACTTTTAAAGAGAGAGAGAGAGGAACACTGATGTGAGAAGGAAACATCTATTGACTGCCTCCTGCATGTCCCCTACTGGTGATCAAACCCACAACCTGGGCATGAGCCCTGATGGCACAATCGAACTGACAACCTTTTTTTGGTGCATGGGATGACACCCAACCGAGCCACACTGCCCAGGCTGTGTGTGTGTGTGTGTGTGTGTGTGTGTGTGTTTTAATTGATTTAAAAGAGAGAGAAACATCAATTTGTTGATCCACTTATTTATGCATTCATTGGTTGATTTTTGTGTGTGTGCCCTGACCAGGGACTGAACCCCTAACTTTGGTGTATCAGGACAACAACTGAGCTACTTGACCAGGGCTGAGTTTTGCTCTTTTGTTGTTGTTGTTGTTAATCCTCACTCGAGGATATTTTTCCATCAATTTTTTTATTTTTTTCCTCTATTGATTTTATTTTATTTTATTTTTATTTATTTTTATTTTTATTTTTTTCTTTATCCTCACCCAAGGACATTTTTCCATTTTATTGTTCAGATAGAGTGGGAGGGAGGAGGAGAGAGAGAGAGAAACATCGACGTGAAAGGGACACATCGAGTGGCTGCCACCCACACGACCAACTAGGGTCGGGACAAACTGCAACCGAGGCATGCGCCCTTAGCGGGAACCGAACCCGGGTCTCTCTGGACCGCAGGCTGATGCTCTAACCGCTGAGCCAAACTGGCCAGGGCTCCTCTATTGATTTTAGATAGAGAGGAAGGGAGAGATAGAAACATCGATGAGAGAGAACATCAATTGGTCACCTCCAGCATGCCCCCCACTGGTGATTGAGCCAACAACCTGGGCATGTGCCGTGACTGGGAATCGAACCGGCGACCTTTTGGTACATGGGTCGACACTCAACCAATGAGCCACACTAACCGGACTCAGTCAATTTTTAGAGTGGAAGGGACGGAGGGAGGAAGAGAGAGAGAGAGAAACGTCGGTATGAGAGAGACATGATTGGTTGCCTCCCTCATGACCCCGACCGGGGCAGGGGATTGAACCTGCAACCCAGGTATGTGCCTTTGACCGGAAATCGAACCTGAGACCCTTCAGTCCACAGGCCAGAGCTCTAGTTGCTGAGCCAAACCAGCCAGGGCTGAGTTTTGCTCTTTAATAGAGGTGTGGGGGAACACACACATACACATTGGAATTGGGTCCAGAAAACCAAAGACACAAGTGTGGGAGACACACACAGTGAAAAAGCTATCTGTAAGAGTCTTGGGTGAAAAGAGGGCTCCCAAAATTCCTAAAGCTTTGCCATTTGGATTTTTTTTTTTTTTTTTTTTTAAATCAAGAAAGTTTATTTAACCAAAATATAAACAACCAAGACTTTTTTAAAAATGTCTTTATTTTTTACTTATTTTTTTGTTGGTGTTGGGGAGGGGGCAGTTGTAGAGGCTTTTTACTCTTTTTTTTTTTTTTTTTTTATGAATTTTTTTTTTATTTTTTTGTTACAGATATTTTACCTTTTTACCCCATTGGCACCCCGCCATTTGGATTTTAACCAAAAGCATACCTTCAAAAGGAATTTCATTTCAGGGGGAAAGCCAGGTCAGCAAATAGAGAAGAGAGGAGATGGAGGAAAGCTAGATAAGTAAGATAAAAGAAGAAGACAGGCCTCCTCAGCCACCTTACACTTTCAGGTGCTGCCAGTGCCAGGACCCCACCCTCATCCTCTGACTCCTTTGTGATAAGCAAGAGTCCTAGAGTCTGACCTGATATTGGTCTGACCAGAGTGCTCACCCATGGGGGAGGTGGGATGGCAGCTCTCCAGGAGCATCAGTTGATAAAACAGCTGGAATCTCAGGCCTCCTGACAGCACTACCCCTTCGTCACTCCCACCACAACTGCTTCCCCCTTCATTTCTTCCACTGAAGCTTGATAGAGCTCCCCAAAGTTCTGACCTCCCAGAAAGCAGGGTGGGCCAAGAAATATTTGTCCCTTACGGACCTAACAAGTCTAACTCTCAGGTCTCCCTCCCCAGTTAAAGCCATCACCAGATACCATTCTGTGCCCACTATCACCACTACCACAAGAAGGGCCCTAAGATAACCCTGACCACCCCCTCTGCCCCATCCAGGGCCCACATTGGGTGTAGGGTGCAGCTAACCTGCCAGGCAGAGGGTACTGTGTAGCTGTACTGCTTGAGCCAGAACAGCTGTTCCTACATTTCCTCAAGTACCGACCCCAGGACCCACCTTAAAGTCCCCAGCAAGGAGGGGCAAGTCAACCTAAACACTACCCAGGGGGTGAAGAGATAGGAGACAGAAGAAGGGGAGTTCGTAGGACCTACCTCTCCTTCAGCCTCTGTGGAAGAGCCAAGGATCAATCAGAAGGCCACTACAATGTGATAGGGGTGCAAGCCAGGAGGAGGGGATTTTGTGCTGAATACCTTGTGTCATGATGCCTGGAATTTGATGTTTAGAGAATGAATAATTGAACCAGCACTGGCCTTCAACCTGTTATCAAACTTCGGAGTTTCTGTAAGACCTTTACCCAGTCTTCCTCACAGAGGTGTCCAAGGAACCAAGGAAAGAAGGATTCTAAAAGTCCCTTTCATCTGACTGGTATTTTAGAATGCAGAATGACCTGGAGAGTAGAAACACTAGAGGCACCATCAGTCAGGAGGCTGTTGCAATGCCTTCCTGAGAGATAAGAGCTAACCTAAGGTGATAAGGAGTGGAAAAGAAAGCATAAAGTTATTTTCCTCAGAGAACCAGCCTTTGAAGTAAGATTACCAGAGATAAAATACTTATACTAAAAAATTACTTGTTGTTTATCTAAAATTAAAATTTACCTTCTGCCCCAGAGTTTTTGTTCTGTTTTCTAAATCTGGCAACCCTACTTCAAAGAAGTACCTGAAAGAAAGGACTGTGGCCTAATGCAGGTGCTTTGTGTCTAGATACTGGGCCATTAACTTCCTTTCTCAGCCCGGCCAGCCCTGTTCTCTCCCAGGCCTAAAGGACTTGGTCCCTTTTCCTTTCCTCTTCAACGGTATCACCACTCTCTCTACCTCCTGGGCTTCCTCTTCTGAAGGCCTGACTGAAGCAGGCTGCAGTTGCCCTAGATACGCGCTTCCTTACTGCTTTCTTCCAAAATAAGTCCCCAGCCTCTCATGAGAGTTTTACCTCTAATCACTAAAGAGAAAGATACAGGGAAATGGGAGACAAACACAATAAACAAAAAGTGTACAAGGCTTTAACAGTTATCACATTTGGGTTCTCAGGTTTACAGCTGCTGATTAGCACTCTCCCACAGTGCTTTAAACATCTCTTTTATTCCTGAGAATGAAGCTCAAGGCTGAACAGTCTGGTGCCCATTTATCTCTATGGACCCCTTTGCTCTCTAGGAGCATTTCTACAGGCACATCTTCCCCCATGGCCCACAGAATTGTGAGCCACTGGAACACAATAGAGCTTAAGGGACAGAGGGCTGTGCCTCTTGTTGAAAAATCAACAAGAGATGTAAACTTTCTGGATCTTTTGGAAGAAAGAAAAATGAAAATATGGAAACCATGTGCAAGTTAAAATTTTTCTTTTTTTTATTGATTTGAGAGAGAGAAACACTTTATTGTTTCACTTATGCAGTTTGGCTCAGCCGCTCAGCATCAGCCTTCGGACCAATAAGTCATGGTTCAATTCCAGCCAAGGGCACATAACTCAGTTTCCATTGGTTTCCGAACCTGGTCGGGGTCATGCGGGAGGCAACCGGTCCATGTGTCTCTCTCACATCTATGTTTTTCTCTCTCTCCCTTTCTTTTTTATTCATCTGAGGATATTTTTCTACTTATTATCAGATAGAGTGGGAGGGAGGGAGAGACAGAGAGACAGAAACATCGACATGATAGAGCCACATCTACTGGTTGCTTCCCGCACCACCCGACCAGGCGGGGACAAATACAACCAAGGAACCTGCCCTTGACCAGAATCGAACCTTTGGACTCACTGGTCCGCAGGCCCACGCTCTAACTGCCAGGGCTCTCTCTCTCTCCCTTTCTGTTTCTCTCTCCCTCCCACTCTATCTGAAGATATTTATAAACAAACAAACAAACAAAAAAATCCTCAGGTGAGGATTAAAAAAAAAGAAAAAAAATACACTTGTAAATTTAGGAACATAAAACTATACTATGAATGTCATCTGGTTTTCTCATAAATTAGCATAGGAAGGCTATGGATAACTAGGTATATAAGAATTTATTTTTCACCTTTAGAGAAAATAAAAAGTACCTACCCCCACTCCACCCCCCAAAAAAAGTATTCCTTCCCAGAGCTCCTAAAGTCTGGAGATTTTAAAAAATCTACCCCTTCAATGTCTATAAAGAACTACAACTCGCCCACCCTGCGTGGTGGGTGGACTGAGCGTCGGCCCATGGACCGAGAAGGACCAGTTCGATGCCTGGTCAAGGCTCAGGCCCGAGGTTGCGGGCTGGGTCCGCAGTGCGGGGCGGGGGGCGCGAGGAGGCAGCCCGCGCGTGTTTCTCTCTCACACCAGTGTTTCTATCTCTCTCACACTTTCTCCCCCGCCCGGCCGGCTCCAGAGACTCCCTTTCCCAGAAACCCCCAGGCTGAGAGGGACCGGCATTCCCCAGCGCCCCCTTGCGGCGCACTTCAGTTCCCGGCGGCCCTCGCGCCAGGTTCCGGGAGTAAGGGTAATTCATGATGGCGGGGGCTGGTTCCGCTGCTGTGTCCGGGGCAGGGACCCCGGTGGCGGGGCCTGCAGGCCGCGACCTCTTCGCCGAGGGGCTCCTCGAGTTTCTGCGGCCGGCTGTGCAGCAGCTCGATTCTCACGTCCATGCAGTCAGGTGCCCGAGAGGGAAAGTTGGGGCGGGGCCTCTCCGTTTGGCTTTGTAGGAGCGGCTCCAAGAAGGGCGGAGCCAAGATGGATTCCTTCCAGGGTTCTGATGGGGCTAAGAATAAATTTGGGAAACTGGAGGCAGGGCAGAATGGCCCCAGGGTGGGGGGCGACGGGGGACGTGAGGCTGCCTTCCTCAGCATTTGCGAAACACGTAGAGGATCAGGTTTCTTGAGTTCCATTGATTGACCCTGGAGGCCTTGTACTTCTTTGCAGAGAGAGCCAGGTAGAGCTGCGGGAACAAATTGACAACCTAGCTACTGGTGAGTATGCTTCCCTATGTATCCGGATCCCCCAGCTCACTTTCAGAACCTTGCTTTGCTGTCCTCTGGGCCGGGTTTCTGTCACTTCCTTGGAGCACAGCAATGCTGTGACGTATTTAAGTTTCTAGTGACTGTGGCTCATATGGGTGGATGCAAGAGTGTTTCCCATGTTATTTACTAGTCTACTTCGTCCAAGAACAAGAAATGAGCCCAGTAGGTATTGGTTGCACCTTACCCACCCACAGAATTGTGCCGTATCAATGAGGATCAGAAAGTGGCCTTGGATCTCGACCCCTATGTGAAGAAGCTTCTGAATGCCCGGCGACGAGTTGTCTTGGTCAACAATATTCTACAGAACGCCCAGGTAAAAGAATTTCCTACCAACAGTGATTCTTTGCTCTGCTTTCTAAGTTCTCAGGGTATATCTCCTGTTTTCAAGGGATGTCTCAATGACTCCAACACAATGAAAGTCATAATTTTTCAAGTCTTTGGGTAAAGGGATTTGTCAATTAAATTAGTGCCTGTCATACTAGAACTGTTTATTCTCAACACCCAGTTGCTGTCATTTACATTCTTGTATACCTTAGACTTAAATTGAGATGGAGCAAGCCAAAGATATTTTCCAGCACCTGAGTGACAGTAAGCTCTAAAACCTTTCACAGAGCAGTTATTAAGATTCCAAATCTTGTTTTGCAGGAACGGCTGAGGCGGCTAAACCACAGTGTTGCCAAGGAAACAGTCCGAAGGAGGGCAATGCTGGATTCAGGAGTTTACCCCCCTGGCTCCCCAAGCAAGTAACAGGATAGAAGATGGGCTTCAGAATAGCACAAGTACTATTTTCCAGCTGCCTCATTTCCTCCAGGACACCCTGTAAACCTTGGGACATGAAGGCAGTCCTATGGATTGTGTTCAAAGCACTTAAGTTCTACCCAGCCCTGACTGGTGTGGCTCAGTTGGTTGAGTGTTGTCCTAGGCACCAAAAGGTTGCCAGTTTCTCAGTTAGGTGCATACAGGAGGCAACTGATGTTTCTCTCTCCTTCTCCCTTCCTCTCTAAAAAAATCAAAAACATATTTAAAAAATACCTTACCCTCTTATGTGGGGGTCCAAAGAAACCTAGGTTCAGCAGAACTCAGAATCCCAAAGGATTTATTCCAGCTCTTGCTTTCTTCCCAGAATGAGCTGAGACTTCTACATTGTATTTCTTGTTAATCCTACGTAATGATACTTTTCCACTGAGTTTTAGGTAGAGTGGGAGGGAGACAGAGAAATATCAATGACATCAATTGGTTGCCTCCTGCATGACCCCAACTGGGGCCAGGGATCAAACCTGCAACTGAGGTACGTGCCCTTGACTGGGAAACGAACCTGAGACTCTGGTCTGAGGACTGATGCTCTAACCACTGAGCAAACCCAGCCAGGGCTGCTTTTTTTTTTAAGGTACATACTCTAGGCCTACCTCTACTTTCAAACCTAGTTAACCAGGAAGGGGCTTCCTGTTATATGCCTGGTTGTTGGGGCCTAGGTGGCATGTCGTCGACCTGTGACTTCTTATTTTCCTGTTTATACTGAGGATTTTGAGAGGGCAGGCAAAAATGTGACTGACCCATCTACCCTTTTGTGGATCTCACTGGCTTGAATGCAGTACCAGTCTTGCTAGAATAATTTACTTCATTAAACGCTTAAACAGTATTCTAGTTTACTCTGGTATACAGAAAGGTTCTAAGAATTTTTGTACCCTAATTCAAATACAGCTTCAAATTGTGATCTAGTGTTCACAGTGAAAAGACTCAAGTAGCAGTTTCAATGAAGAGGGTAGGAAGCAAAAATGGTGGCCAGAGACCAAGGAAAAACAAGACCAAGAGCCCTACTAGGAAGTACTTTAATCATTTTTCTTAGAAAAAAAAATTTCTAGGCATGAACAGTTGACAACATTTCAACGACAAAGTACTGGTTGAGAAGTTTCCAGGAGCTGGGGACTCTACAGTATTATGAAATTGGTATCCTGCTTCACTATAGATGGGAGACTCTGGCTACTAAGTCAATATAAGAACTCAGTGGGATGATGCTTCCTTCCATAGAGTTTATTTTTATTTTCCTGTCTTCCCTTATCCCTCAGAAATGCCACCATATACAGAGCAGTAGTAGTTAGCTTAGGCTCTAATCTTCCCCTCGGTTAAGAAAGGGTGAAGAGAAGGGAAGGTCACTCCTGAGTCTCCATGCTTTCCTCCTCCTCTCCTTGAGGTGGTTCTTCTGTATTCTCCTCCTCTTCCTCTCCTTCCTTCTTCTCTGGTGGCTTCTCATAAGCCTTTTCTGAAGGTGTCACTATCACTCCATCCCAGGTAGATATTTCAGAAGCAAGATCTAGAAGAGAAAAAAGTGATTACAGACAAGTAGCCAACTTAAAACCCATGATCTACACAGAAATACTAAAGACATCTAAGTAGTACAGATCTTCTTTGTAGACCATAAAAGACCCTCAAAAACCTCTGACCCAGTGGTCACTCACAACTGGCATCACCCTCCTGGCCAAGGATCTTCCTAAAGCCACCATGTGAGAGGATTCGAACCAGAGTCTGAGCTGTGTAGCAAACCATGTCCTGAAAGAGAGCAAAGTGAGGATAAATAAGCAAAGAGAATGGAAATACCTTATTTGACTAACATTCTATGAAAATACAGATGAAGACAGCTTTCCAGACCAAAGTATGTGAGAACCCCCAAATCCCTTATCTCTAAAGATCACATTCCCGTTGCTTTCTGACCCAGGAGTATTTGAGGGGTGCACAACAGACCATTTCAGAGCTGTCCCAATACCTGCTGTTCCAGAGTCATGACTGTGTGTACTCTGAAGTTGCCGCTCTCACAGGGGTCTGTGATACCCATTGACCCTGGCAGGAACAGTCCTGCAGCCAGAATCTGCAAGCATCGCCTGAAACACAGGAGGTATTAGAAGAGCATACAAGACAGTTTACATCCGGTCCCAAACCCAGAGAAGTATGTTATACCTGTATGCCACATTTAGGGCCAAAGGCTGCCTGGTGGGGTTGTTCATCACAGCATAGTGCCCCTGGAAAATAATAAATCTGGAGGTGTGCCATAAAAATAGCAATCTGTCTTCAAACTAAGACCTTAAGCTATCATGAGGAAAACTGGTTATTAAGGCCTTGTCAAACTTCACGTTCGGAAGCAATTCTGAAGTGACTGATCATTTAATAGGTTCTCTTCATTATCGCATTAATGAAATGACAGCAGTAATAAAAAAGACAAAGGGAGTAGTAATAACTACTAATTTAATACTCTAAAAACCAAATAAAGTAATAAACACCGAATCTTTATTTAATTACTTGTCCACCAATGAGATTTTTTAAAGCTTCACCAAATTTCAGATTCTGGTAGATGTCAGAGTAACTACTGTTAAATAGGGATGATTAGGAGCTCCCAATTGCCCTTCTTTACTTACAAGTAGGTCAAGGATCCAGGGTGTGAGGGGCTCAAAGCCAGGAAAACGAATCCTCAGGTCCTTCAGAAGTCTGATGAGAACTTTAACTCTGAAGGTAAGAGGGAACCAGGGATTAAACGTAATATGATCATGTACTTCCACGCCTGAAGCTATATCCAGAACTACACATTCTTTTCTTTTTCTCCACTTAAATTTGTTTAAGGCAAAATTCAAAATCCAGACAGAAGGCTGGAGCAAAAAAGTTCTATCAGAGGAAGTACAGGGGCACCCTGTGCTATAGTTAGAAGGGTTAGGTTATCTTAGCTCAAAGTGAGGGAGGAACTCACGTGGACTGAGAAGCATTTTCTTCAAACCAGCGGGCATGTCGGATGGCTGCTAAGGCACTCTGCAACACCTTGATATCCACTAGAAGCATGACAGGCCAAGATGAAACATTCCTATTATTAAGCAAGCAATTCAATCCACTGCCATAGGTCAGTAACTTGGATGGTGGACAGGACAACGTAATTCTTAAACACTCCATGTTTGCCCAGGTCGGGTGGCTCAGCTGATTGGAGCATCGTCCCATGCACCAAAAGGCTGCAGGTTCAATTCCTGTCAGGGCACCTACCTAGGTTGTAGGTTCAATCCCTGGTTGGGGCACGTATGAGAAGCAACCAATCAATGTTTCTCTCTGTTTCTAAAAGTCAATTAAACATATCCTCAGGTGAGGATTTAAATAAATCAATAACCCACTCAGTGTTCCTTATATCAGCAAATCACTTCTCCCAAACTCTACTTTTCCCCTCGACCAAATCTAGAAGCATACAAGATCCAAGACTTTCTCCAAAGGCCTAACTCCACATCCATAAATATTTCCTCAGTTCTTTGTCCTCAAACTGTTTTTCTGGCCATCCTGTCTTTGACAATGGCACTAACAAGTTGGTAAACCTGTCTCCAACTTACAGATGGAGGTAGCCAAGTTTGGGAGTAAACTTAGGTCCCAGAATACCATGTTTTGAATTTCCTCCCAGCAATGGAGAAAAAAGACTAACAATGGAGTTCTGGATCCAGTTTTCGGAGATTGGGTGGTACTGTTGTAATGAGAATCTTCACTGTAGCATCAGAAGAACTGATCTCAAAGCCAGTTTCATTGGTCAGCATGGTCAAAACTGAAAGAAAAGAAAAAATTCAAAAGCTCTAACTTGCACATTTCCATTAGGTAACCAAAGGTAAGTCTATGGTCAGGGACTAATACAGGTTTTCAAAAGCAGCAAGACTCCAGAATGAAGATTTAGAAAACAGTTTTAAAAGATCACGTCACCTAGCTGGTGTGACTCAGTGGTTGAGCGTCAATCTATGAATCAAGAAGTCACTGGTTCAATTCCCAATCAGGGCACATGCCCAGGTTGTGGGCTGATCCCCAGTGGGGGACATGCAGGAAGCAGTCAACTGATGTTCTCTCTCATCTATGTTTCTATCTCATCCCCTCTCTCTCTAATATCAATAAAGAAAAAAAATTTTTTTTAAATAAATAAAAGTAAAGATCATGTCAATATAATTAAGGAAAAAAAGAAAAGGAGATCAATAGCATTTTGAACACTGAAGATCCCACCAAAAGTTCTCCAACATAAAACTGCATTCACTCTTCTTCTAGCCTGACCAGATTTGGTTAACTCTGTACTTAGAATTACAGACCTGGTTCCTATGACCACTAAATAAATATGTGTTCAGCAACAAACCTTCAAAAGTTTCCTGTTCTCTGAGGCTTTCCACAACTTTGTTCCCTAGGGCAGCAACAGCTTCCACTAGAAGGAGAGAAAAGGAATTAATGAACATTATAATTATCTACTCTGCACTATGATTTCTGCCCCATGTTCAAGGCTGGATCAAGGGCAAGCAATAGAAAAAACATTTTTACAAAGAGAAGCTAATGCCTGGACAGAGAGACTCAAGGCACAGGACATCTTCTATGTCCACATGCACTAATGCCATTTTGGGCTGTAATTCTTTGGGAGGTGAGGGGTAGAGTCCATTCCTGGCCTCTACTCCCTTGATGCCAGTAGCCCAAAACGTCTCTAGACACTGTCAAATGTCCCCTGGGAGACAAAAATCACCCCTAGTTGAGAAACACTTCCTTACAGTAACTGGCATATATTCTTTCAGACACACTCCTGAGTTTGTCCCTTATTACCCCCACACAATTAAAATATTAATTTTCCACTTTTTCCCTCCCTGGCTGCTTGAAGATCTGCTGCCATCATGAACAACACACTAACTATCCGGACCAGGAAGTTCATTACCTACAGACTATTTCAGCAGAAACAAGTGGTCATTAACATCCTTTATCCTGGGAAGACAACAGTATCCAAGACAGAAATTTGGGAAAAACTAGCCAAAATGTATAAGACTACACCAGATGTCATCTTTGTGTTTGGATTCAGAACCCACTTTGGTGGTGACAAGACAACTGGCTTTGGCATGATTTATATGATTCCTTGAACTACTCAAAGAAAAATGAACCCAAACATAGACTTGGAAGACATAGTCTAGACAAGAAGACCTCAAGAAAACAGGGCAAGGAATGCAAGAACAGAATGAAGAAAGTAAGAGAGATCCTGCGTGGTGTGGCTCAGTTGGTTGAATGCCGTCCCGTGCACCCAGAAGTCTGGTCCAATTACAAACTGAGGCACATGCCCAGACTGCGGGCTTGATCCCTACTAGAGGGCCTGCAGGAAGCAGCCAATCGATGTTTCTTTCTCCCTCTCTAAAATCAATAAACACATACTGAAAAAAATAATAATAAAGGAAAAATATTTTTAAAATAAAAGAAAGAGGGGCTGCAAAGGCCAATGTTGGTGCTGACAAAAGTGAGCTG